ACCCCGCACAACATGATCTACTCGACCACCATTATGGTTACCGCCAAAAACAAAAAACAGAAAAAAAAAACGGTTGTAACCTGGTTGCCGAGTTCACGAAGTGAGAATCGGCTCATTTTACAATGTCGTTGCCAAGCGACGAAAACCCAATCCCGATGGCAAACACCGGAGGAGGGGAAAAGAGGGAATGGGGAGAAAATACTAAAAAAAACAAAGATAACGGAACACACTAAAGTTGGGGATACTACCAGAAGCACGGGGAAAAAACACGTGGGAAAGACAGTCAGCTGTGCCGCAGCAGGGGTCGGTACGGCGCGATATCGTAGAGAGCGTTCAACCGGTACCTTAAGCATGTACGAACAAAAAGCGGGGGGGGGGGGGGGTTCNNGGGGGGGGGGGGGGGGGGGGGGGGGGGGGGGGGGATTCCGAAACGGTGGGGGGAAAACAAACAATTGGAAAAAAACACACGGAAAATATGGCATCTGTTTGTGTATCCTGTTGGGGTAGTTAGACTGTGGCCACGGAAGGGGTCCGCTTCAGTTGGACTGGTACGGATGGTAGAAGGTACATAATGACCAGAGACTGGAATACTGCCAAGATAGCAGCAACAACAACAACAGCAGCAAAAACAACAGCGAAAACCTATGCTCGAGAACCCGCCAAGGGACCGGTGTTGAAACCAAGCAATACCAAGCGAGAATGCCCTGCTCACCTTTCCATGTCGAGCAGAAAGGACATCACGTCCGGCGACTCCAGGCCCCTCCCGACCATGAACAGCACGGCCATGAGGCACCGCACCATGTGCCACAAAAACGCCTGCCCGCAGACCTGGCCAAGACACAACGCACCGCAATCAGCACCTATACGCCGTCCATTTCTTTCTTGTCGAACGAGCGGGGGGTGGTTGGCTCCAAAGGCTGGTGTTCTGGATTATATGCCTAGAACCACGAAAACAATCGTTGGGAAACATGCACAATACAAGCGAGCGGAAACAACAGCCCCTAATCCCCCCGCATTTTACCCCCCCACCCCCCCCACCCCCGCCCCCGATGTTTGCCATCGGGGTTGGGTTTT